ATTTACAATCTAAAATCATTAGAAATAATTTTTACAGATTTACAAGAGTTTGCTACTCTATCTCATCTAACTTTTTCTCATTCTCGAGTTGCTCCCTTTCACCACTCCTAATGCAGGTATTTATAGACACAAAGAGGTATCAAAAATAGTTAAAGATTCCAACCGAAATCAGTTGCAAAAACTGTTGGAATAAAGGCTCTAGTTCAATTGATTTCTGATTGATCTAGGTTGCTGAATTCTACCTTAAAGAATCATGTTTTACAAATACCATGTGTAATGAACAAATCGCACCATGTATATTACAATAATTGACACTTTACAAAAAAAATAAAATATTATTATAATTTTTTTCTCATTAAAAAATTAATTTTCTATATTCCTTCCATGTCTTTTACATAAATAACTTATGGTCAAGTCTTTAACTATGTGTATTTTTTAAAAAATATTTATACTTGCATTCTCTTCTATAAAATAAAAAAGAAAAAGAAAGAAAAACTATCCACAACAAAATCCAGGAAATTTCTGCATGCAGTTTAGAAAATTCTTGAAAACAAATTATATAAATATGTTAACTTCATCTTAAAGGGAATGAGAAGTTAATTTTAAACTTTAAATAACTAATATAAAAGTTATTTAACTTTATTTTTAAAATATATATTCATTAACCAAAACTTATTAATTAGAAGATCACAATTCACAACAAAGAATTTAATTTTGTCCATTTTATAATGCTAGAACTAAAAATTGAATGAAGTTCGAAACAATGAGTACACACACTTACGAATAGATGCTAGATAATATATACCTGGATATGATGACATTAACGGTGCATTCTTTAGTAGGCCAAATGCTCAAATGTTGGTGACTTTGTCGTGCTATATAGAGAGAGGAGTACGCTCAATGCGTGACATGCGGCACCATATTTCTTTTGTATAATAAAGTTGTTTGAAATTTAATTAAGTGTAATATCGAAAATTAATTATACTGAGAGACTGAAGTCTAGCTTATGTGATAAGAACAATATTTTATTAGATTATTGATCTATGTTTGAATTTCTTATTTATTTCAATTTAGAGTTCAAGAAAAAGAAGATGACAAAAAAAATTAAATAAAAATCATGGCTTCTGATACTTAAGTTGCAGCCTATGGCGTAAAACCATAACTTTTAACCGATTTATACAACATAATGCTTGAGTAGCGGAAGTAAGTGACACTCCAATGGCCTTAAAAGCCCATCTTTATCATTTAGGCGTGAAGGCGACATATTTCTCCAATAGCGTATATAGCATTAAGACTCACCTCTTTATTTGTTGAATTCAATTTCATTGTCAATGTCAATTTATGAACCATAAGCGTATTAACAAGAAGACAAAATCTTTATGTGCCTCAACGAAATTGGAACCTTTGATTTGATTTAGAACCACAAACACTGCTATTAGTTAGCTTGTCCTATCAAGAGTTTAATGAGAAGAGAGAAAGTATCACCTCGCATTAATTGGTATATTCCATATCGATACATTATTGAACTGAATCGAGATAAATTTGATCGCGTATTTCTATATTTTTAATAAAATGTTAATTATATATATATTTTTAAATTTCTCTCTCTCTCTCTCTTTCTCATGATTTATAGAATCTCTATGAAAGAAGAGAAATTTGTATTTTTCATATTCGGTATTTTTCATATGAGCTCCTCCGCGGATGTAGACCTTTTCATGGTTGATTCATGTTTAAGTTGTTAACATTGTAATAACTCTACAACTTCTTGTATCAAATTTTCATGAAATAAATCAAAATGGTCAGTGAGATAGAATCTTGAAGATATAAATATAAATAAACAATTTTTTGCCATTAATTTCCAATGTTGCTTGAAATCATTTCATTAAGAAGACAGTGAAGCAAATGTATCAAATCCAAATTCTAGACAAATGTTTCTCTACTCGGTATTTTATGCATGCCCACTGTCTTTTAATTTCTTAACAACTAAAGCAAATTGTAGTTACCGGCAACATATAAATTTCCTAGGATTCGATCATTCTTTTGTTTTGGACATTATCCATGTCAAATGATCATGTAGCAATTCGGCTCCCATCAAATTCTGACTAGGCAAATTCTGGTTTTCACTGTCCAGTAGTGAGTATTCAACTTGTGGGCAATTTTCCATGTGGTCTCTAGGGTAGAAAAATGAATTCACTCCATCATTAATTGAACCTTGGTGCTGTAAACCCAGTGTCAAAGATACACCACCACCACTGCTGCGGCTGCCTCGACCTTGACCACGACCATGACCATGACCATGACCATGACCGGTATTTTCACTAGTATATGAGACTGAATTATGATTATATGCGGAGAAGTCCAATTGCATGGAACCACCATAAGAGTCTGTCACTCTATCAAAACCATGCTGGTGGTGGTGGTGGATGCGGTGCTCAGCTGGAGAAAGAGGCTCTGAATCTGTTCTAACTAGTCTATAACTGCTTGGCTTATGATCTAGTTCCAAATGCGCCGCCTCGGGTGGAGGGTTTTGATTCTGTTGGCCACCATTTTCATCAAGAATATCGGCGGCGGCTGCAGCTGCACCATCCAAGAATTCCATGCCCTCTTGCTCCTTTAGTTCCTCTAGATACATTTCCTCCACCATGGGTTTCCATAGCCTCACCCTTGCATTGATGAACCAATTAGACACCTGCACAAGAAAAAAGAGAGGGCATTGTCAACGCAGAAAACATAGATTAGAACTGAAAATTATTTTGAAAGTAATTAATCCTACTTTTTTTCAAAATAAGTAATTTTTTAACATTGAAGTAGAAAAAAAGTAACAAATTCCAACATGATAAAAAAATTATTTAGAAGTATGCTTCCCCAAACATGATTAGATATTTGTAACTTTTTCTACCGTCACTCGACAAAAACTGAACTTATTTTCACATACCACGAACTGACATCATTTTATAAGCCCCTATTTGGTTGGCTAAAAATTATATTTATAATATATTTTGGTAAAAATTGATAAAATATGTAATTGAAAAATGAAAAAAAAAAAGTTATGAATCTCATAAAATGGATGGTTGAAAATAATTTTTTTTTTAAAAAAGTTAAAATTGGGATCAGAGAGGGACTAAGAATGCGTGACGAGAAAACATCGTAATATTGTTCATAGAAAATCTACGAGTGTTTTAAGAAGACTTACACCTTGATGATATAAATAAAGAATAAATCCTCATGTACAAAAATGGAGTTTACATGGGTTTTACATCCTCACAGTGGTTGGCCCCATTGTAATTAAAAATAAAATAAAAATTATCCACTCACCCACCCCATGTGTGAGTGTCTGTAAACCAAACCACCCCCTCCCCATCTGTACATGTAGCACTGTCCATAAATAAATTCATGGTTTCATTAAATAATTAATAATTGGAAGAGAGAGACTTTCCTGGCTTCTGGAGAGACCAGTTTGATGGGCTAAAATATGTTTATCTACATCGCTTGGATACCTGCAAAGCAAAGCAAATATACAAATTTATATTGGTTCACCGTGTTTGATGGGCTTTTCGTGAGTATGTTCATTTTTTCACTATAAATTTTCTGTAGAGAGAGATGGGGTCCCGTGGAAGCTGTAACAGAATCAAATCCACAGAAATAACACAAAGTGCCAAAAAAAAATTCTAGATAACAAAACCAAAAATGGTAGGAAAAATTATAATATGAGTACGATAATTTGGAATCTCAATGATGGCAGGGAGAAAGTTACAAAATGTTGGATTTTTTGTTCTTTTTTTCTTTTTTTTTTCTGCAAACTAATGATTAAGACATTAAGTAAGAACATCAGTATTAAATCAGCAAGTGGGATGGACAAAACATCAATTTTCAAATAAACAAGTGTTTTTTCGGATGAGATGGTATGATCATAACGCTAAAAGTTTCCTGATTCAAGTGTTATCATCACTCCCCCGTGAAACTTTTGCTTGTTCAGTTTGACAAAAAAAAAAAATTCGACGTACATGTGTGATCTCTCTCTCTAACATCTTAAATTTTTATATGAGGTGGTTCTATAAGAAGCAGTATAAGAGAAGGGTGAGCAATTATACGGGTTGAGGAAGTGCTCGAAGAGCCAGGCCCGAAGAACTGAAACTGATCTTTCTGGCAAGCCACGCTGGGGTCTCCATGGATGGCTTTCCATCAAGTTAATCTGTTGGATCGCCTTCTGTTGCCTTAGAGTTTGATCAAGAATCCTGAGACTTGGTGTGTCTCCTCTCCTTGTACCTGGTGCATCAGCAGCGCTCTTGTCCTCCATTCCCTTCTTGATGGCCTTGATTTGGTTTATAATTCCATCTCTTAGGCACCTAAAATGCCTAGACATAGCTTTGGAAGCTAGGGCAGAATACATTGCTGCCGCTTCAGCGCCAGCTACTTCTTCAAATGACGATATCACACCCTTCATTTGATGACAATAGTGCTTGTACCTTCTATCCACCTACAACCACAAAAACAAAAGTTGATCAAGGAATTATATCCTAATCTAAATTACGAGACTGATACTAAGCAAAACGAAATTAGAAACACACAAGCAATGTATCTCACGTAAAATGACCCTCTAAAAATCTTGAATAGAAAAATATGGATTAGGTCGATACGCTATCACAATGAAGGGGATAAGTTTACATCATCGATTAAGCTCCACGGAGGCCAACAACATGAACAAAAGTGTACAGTGGTAACAATAAATGGCAAAGTATGTACCTTTTCTTGGCTGAGGTTAGCGTGAGTACTTTTCTTAGCTGAAGTTAGAGTGACAGATCATAAGCTGGAGTTGTGAAACATAGAAAATTTTGTACCTTTTCTGGCTTGTGTGTGTATATACACAAGCTGGAGTAGTAAAATCACTTAATAAGAAGCAAAAAGTGGAAAAGAATGGAGGGTTCTGAAATTTAATGGAACCGCTGAAATGTCACCATTTGAGCATTAAAGGATGAGCCCCCAGCCACCCATTAAGTTCAAGATTTCAAGTCTCGTACCCCTAGCTAATTAATCAACCCATATTCAGATTGAGTCTAGGGACACAGTAGTACTCGACTCGATTACTTACAGTTCCTTATTTCAGTTTCTTACTGGTTTATAACAAACTTTAAAAATATACAAGTGTATAGTATGAAATCAAACAAATATACTTCTTCTAGCATTTGAATCAGCTTTGTCTTTCTTTTCTGCAGTTCCAGCAGGTCCATGAAGTGTAAAGATTGCTTCTTTATCACATTCTCATCCTGCCATTGATCGCTGGCCTTATGATTAATCTTCAGCTTTGATTTATGATCGTGATCAGTTATCGTCATTCCAGGATTACAGAACTCATTGAGAAGCTCCTGGGCAAGATTCAAGTACTTAGAGTTCCTTATCAGAAAGTGACCTTGATTTTGAAGATCTGTGTCAATTATTACCAAAAATAAAAAAAAATCAATCTTCTTGTGGTTTCAAACATAAAGTACGGTGACGATTTTCGAACGAAAATAAAATATTATCACCAAATAGAAACCAGATTGCGATAGGATTAGACACCACTGTGAACAAGATTTTTTAAACTCTTTTTCTTCTTTAAACTGTCACGTCCAATGTACCAAACATGCTATAAGGGTTTTTAACGTACTGAAAATTTAGGGACTTACCCAAGAACCTGTCTCTGGAACTTGAAGGACTAAACCTTAATCCCTCTTGTTGTCTTAGTTCACAAGACTGTAATCCTATGGTACAAGGATTAGATGAACTGAGAGAGAGTGAAAGGCCTTGACTTGGCCTTTCATTTCCTTGACAAGGGAAAACACACCTCATAGATGGATCATGATCTAGATTCCAGTCTGGAGAAACAATCAAGGTATCATTTGTTAAATCATGCTCATGTTGATAGAATTTTGTTGTTTTCAGCTCCCCGATCGCCGCCTTAGAGGATGATGCACCGCCTTGGTGGTGGTGGTTTCCGGCCTGCCCTGGAAACCCTATCATTCCCATGCCTGCTGTTAAGTGGTATATCTCGTCCATATGAGAGAGATTCTCTTCTAAAGAAAAAGGAAAAATACCTTATAAGCTGAAGAAAATTATCAAGAAAATATCAAAACAATAAAAGAGAACTTTTTCAGAGAAATAATTTATCTTTATATATGTTTAAAATTCAAATGGTTTTTTTCTTAAACTGCTTCCATTCTCTGTGAGGATGGGTTATGTATCATGTGTATTTAAATGAGAGAGATATATAAAGATAGTGATATACATATTTAGATAGGGAGAGAGAGAGAGAGACAAGATTGGACTACGTTTCCATGAAACCCAAGCTAGGAAGACACCGGTATGTTGAAGAAGATGATACAGGTGTTTTGTTTCTTTCTCTCTCTCCTCTCCTCTCCCCTCTCTCTCTTCCAAGTCAATCCACCAATATACACATACGCGAATATTGCTATGCGGGTCCTCATTGTATTGCCAAAATTGTAAGTTAGTTCAAACCTTCGAAAAGTAAGAAATTCCTCAACCTCTCAAAATAGGTGCACAAATAGTCCCATCGAATGAAATCCTTTAAAGTTGTAATAAGTCTTGACTCGACCTGCACGTGACAATGTTTTGATGGTAAAATAACTAAACGTAACAAAATAAAAAGAAAGAGCAATTAAAAACTGGCTTCTTTTCATAAGTTGTGGACCAACTTGAAATTTCCACAATAGATTGAGGACAACAGTGAAATATTTCCTATACATGAAGACATACAAAATAGCCTTCCTCGCCCCCTCTCTCAATTATTTCTTACTCCTGCAAATTAAAATCTAATTAGAACCCTCCAAAACTTTTTAATATTTTTAAACGCGAGAAAAATAAAATATATTTTTATTTTTAGCCATTTGTTTCCAAATTGATGAGCACGCAACCATAGGATTATGACAATTATCCCAGAAGAAATGAATATCTCCAAATAATTTGTAACTGCATATGAATTTCATTGAGTTATTTCGATTTATGACTGGGGGAGGAGACTTGATTTCAAGGAAGTCTATTTTGTATGTATTTATGTATTGGAAATATTTCATACTCCTACAAATTAAAAACTAATTAGAACCGTCCAAGACTTTTTATTATTTTTAATTAACACGAGAAAAATATTGTAACTTATATTTTTAGCCATTTGTTTTCCAAATTGATGAGCACACAGCCATAGGATTTGCAATCCTATGTGACATTTCTCCCAGTAGAAATGAATATCTCCAAATAATTCGTGACTAAGTATAAATTTCATTGAGTTATTTCGATAAATGATTGTAGCTTTCGATTTCCGTAGCAAGTAGGTACTTACATTTAGGGGTGAACAAAAAAATGGTCAACTAGTCAAACCAAATCAAAAAAATGATTTTGAATCATTGATTTGAGTCCACGTAATTTAAATTTCGAAAGTTTCAAAATCAAATTGAATCGTTTGAAAATAGTTCATTAGTGGGATCCTTCAATATGGGCTTGAGAATATGCGTACACAAAAGAACAATTGAAAACTGCTAAATCTCGAACCATGAACATACGACTTCATGGCATGTGTTGAAAATTTCTTCAAGACATTGTTTATCCCCCCACTAAATCATGACGCTCCAAAGAATGATGTTGTAAAACAAACAAGATATCAAAATAACTCTGATACCAATTATTATAAAAGAAATTATCGGATTGAGATGTTAAAGTTATATGGCAAATAATAATGAAGTATACGATCGAACAAAAGAATAATAAAGACAAGAATACGGTAAAAGAATTAATAGATTTTATTGACTCAAAAAATAATGGAGAAGAGATAAAAATTACAATAGATCTTATAATTTTAGTAATATATTTTCTTACACTATAAAATTGTATAGAAGAGTCTAATATTTAAAGGAAATATGTATGAGATGTCCAAATAGTAGAGTAGTTGATGAAGTAAGATACCCAAAAATCGAGTCCAAAACAAATTAGAACTCTCAATTGGCTTCCAAAATAAAATTTCAACTTAACATAGGATTCCAATAATATTTCAAACTGAATTCTTCTTGATGTGCACTTCAATTAGAATTCTTCAATTATTTCAACAAGGAATTCTAGTCACACCCAAATTCTAACAATCTCCACCTTGACACGAATTCCTCCAAGGAATGAACTGACTTTTTCAACAATAACCAAAGAATTAATTTCCCCAACCAAACACAAAATATTTCACCTCTTTCAATAAATTCAAGCATTACTCTACAGAATTATCTCAAATTCCAAAAAAATTATAATGATTTTATAATTTATCAAAACGGGCTGTAACATACCACAAAGTAGAATCAAACTCAAATGCTTTTAAAGAATGTCACTTGCTGATACCTTTATCATCATTGTTAAATATCATCTTAAGCAATGCAAGCAAACAGTGATAATCCTTGGCAGTTGTTTTCGATTTATGACTGGGGGAGGAGACTTGATTTCAAGGAAGTCTATTTTGTATGTATTTATGTATTGGAAATATTTCATACTCCTACAAATTAAAAACTAATTAGAACCCTCCAAGACTTTTTAATATTTTTAAACACTAGAAAAATATTATAACTTATATTTTTAGCCATTTGTTTCCAAATTGATGAGCACACAGCCATAGGATTTGCAATCCTATGTGACATTTCTCCCAGTAGAAATGAATATCTCCAAATAATTCGTGACTAAGTATGAATTTCATTGAGTTATTTCGATAAATGATTGTAGCTTTCGATTTTCGTAGCAAGTAGGTACTTACATGTAGGGGTGAACAAAAAAATGGTCAACTAGTCAAACCAAATCAAAAAAATGATTTTGAATCATTGATTTGAGTCCACGTAATTTAAATTTCGAAAGTTTCAAAATCGAATTGAATCGTTTGAAAATAGTTCATTAGTGGGATCCTTCAATATGGGCTTGAGAATATGCGTACACAAAAGAACAATTGAAAACTGCTAAATCTCCAAGCATGAACATACGACTTCATGGCATGTGTTGACAATTTCTTCAGGACATTGCTTATCCCCCCACTAAATCATGACGCTCCAAATAATGATGTTGTAAAACAAACAAGATATCAGAATAACTCTGATACCAATTGTTATAAAATAAATTATCGGATTGAGATGTTAAAGTTATATGGCAAATAATAATGAAGTATACAATCGAACAAAAGAATAATAAAGACAAGAATACGGTAAAGGAATTAAGAGATTTTATTGACTCAAAAATAATGGAGAAGAGATAAAAATTACAATAGATCTTATAATTTTAGTAATATATTTTCTTACACTATAAAATTGTATAGAAGAGTCTAATATTTAAAGGGAATATGTATGAGATGTCCAAATAGTAGAGTAGTTGATGAAGTAAGATACCCAAAAATCGAGTCCAAAACAAATTAGAACTCTCAATTGGCTTCCAAAATAAAATTCCAACTTAACATAGGATTTCAATAACATTTCAAACTGAATTCTTCTTGATGTGCACTTCAATTAGAATTCTTCAATTATTTCAACAAAGAATTCTAATCACAACCAAATTCTAACAATCTCCACCTTGACACGAATTCCACCAAGGAATGAACTGACTTTTTCAATAATAACCAAAGAATTAATTTCCCCAACCAAACACAAAATATTTCACCTCTTCCAATAAATTCAAGCATTACTCTACAGAATTATCTCAAATTCCAAAAAATTATAATGATTTTATAATTTACCAAAACGGGCTGTAACATACCACAAAGTAGAATCAAACTCAAATACTTTTAAAGAATGTCACTTGCTGATTGTACACCTTCTACTCCACTTAAAGTATGCTAAACAAAATCACAATCCACATATCCTTTTCCATTGGGTTCGTCCCTAACAATTTAATATAATGGCACCGCAGTTAATGGTGGTAAAGCGGCATTATCCATATCTCATGAACTCTACTGAACTGTATTCTTCAAATTCGACTATTTATGAGCTCCTAAAGGTATTGTACCAAATTGAATGTCCACCACGATCCTGAATTTGTGTTGATTGACTCTTCTAAATTCTGCACGACCCTGTAAGATGTATAATTGAGACATTTTTCGTCCCTATAATTAGGGGTGGGCAAAACCAAAACCAACCCTCTAAACCGCCCGAACCGACCCAAACTGGTCGGTTTGGGTCGATTTTTTTTTTTTTATATATAGTTGGGTTGGGTTTTGGGCGAAGAAGGTGGGTCGGATCATGGGTTAATCAAGAAAATCTATTTAACCCGACCCACTTAGTTTTAAAAAAAAGACGCAACTCTATTCTAAAAGTCAAAAGTCACGGGACAAACAAGTTATAAAACACAATTACACAACCCTAACCTAATAATCATCATCATCAACTCTCTCTCTCGCTCCTACAGTCCAACTCCACTTGCCGCCGCCTCTCTTATTTTCTCACCAAAAAATGTGAAGATATTTTTTTGAAAATTTTTTAATTACTAAAATTTGTCAGTGACAATCTTTTATAACTTTTGTATTTTAAAATCTTGACGAAATTGTGCTGAGTATCTATGATTATTCCAAGTTTATAATTTAATTTGTGGTTATGCTATTAAAAAGTTGTTGTAGTGGATTTTTAATTAATCTTTCTCATTTCTTGCTAAACTTTGATTTGAAAACAAATGCATTTTTAATTACAGGTACAAGATGCCTATATTTTCTTTCTTTAGCATTTTTTATTTATACATTTCATGTAGTTGATATGTTTTTATTGTTGAAATATACTTTTATGATTTTTAATGTTCAAACCAATCAACTCAACCCAACCGAAACTTGATTGGGTTGGGTTGGAACACAAAAATGGGTTGGGTTGATTTGATTTTTGATCATACCGACTATATTGGGTAGGGTAAAAAATCGATCCAACACAACGCGTGCCCACCCCTACCTCCAATACAGTTTAGGCACCCTTACAAACCTTCAAAACTCTATATCCACCAAAAAACTCATAATCTTTTGA